CTTTGAGCTTCAGCTGTTTGTGATGGAATCTGCACCCCCCCCCCCCCCGCCGTGTGTTGTTTTATATCGCCCTCCAAAATATAATAAGGATTTCATTAATGAGTTCTCAGAACTGTTGCCAAAATTTGACAGTTTGCTTTTATGTGGTGATTTTAACGTTCATGTTTGCCGTCCCTGTAACCAACTCGCTGCTGACTTTCAAAGCCTTCTGGATTCTTTTAACCTGTCACAATCTGTGTCAGGGTCCACACACAGTCATGGTCACACTTTGGACTTCATCATCTCTCACGGCCTTCGTGTCTCTGTTGTAGAAATTTTGGACACTTGTATTTCAGACCACTTTCCTATTATATTTGAGTTTTCCACTCCTCCCCCAGTAAATCTACGCTTCCAGCACGTCGCTGCCGCTTCATCACTCCCTCCACTCCAGGTCAGTTTGCTGCTGCGTTTAGAAGCACTGACTTATACTCTGCTGAAAGTCTGGACTCATCTCTACATCCAGAAGAATTTATCACCTCCTTTCAGTACACTTCTACAAAGATCTTGGACTCCATCGCTCCTTTAAGACAGACTTCTACAAAAATCAAACCAGATCCCTGGCTTAATGGTACCACTCGGACCTTTAGACAACACTGCAGGAAAGCAGAACGCAGATGGAAGAAAGACGGGCTTCATGTGTCCCAGGACATACTGAGAGACTGTCTTCATGAATATCAAAAAGCTGTTCAGCAGGCCAAATCACAATATCTTTCTAATTTAAATTCTACCAGTTGTAACCGGCCAAGGGTTTTATTTAATACCATTCAGTCTGTCATTAATCCCTCCATCAATGTTCTGAAAACTGCTACACAGTCTACCTGTGATGGTTTTCTTGATTACTTTGTGAACAAAATAGACTCTATCAAGCAGAACACTGTCAGTACCTATAATGCTGTTCATTTATGTGCTCCCTCAATAACCTCTGCTGTGTTTGATCAGTTCCACCTGGTCTCACTACCTCACCTCGTTAAGGTGGTTCAGCAGATGAAACCTACAAACTGTACCCTGGACATCATCCCCTCTAAGATGTTCAAGCAGTCCTTGGATGTTATTGGTCCTTGTCTTCTGACATTTATTAATAGCTGTCTAAGTTCAGGTTATGTCCCGTCTGTTTTCAAACATGCTGTGGTCAGGCCTCTTCTTAAAAAACGGGTTTAGATCCTACAGCTTTTTCTAATTTCAGGCCAATTTCACACTTGTCATTTTTATCCAAAGTTCTGGAAAAGGTTGTTTTCATTCAGTTGCAATCTTTTTTAGAACACAACAACTTGTTTGAAAAATTTCAATCTGGCTTCAGACACCGCCATAGCACTGAATCTGCACTGCTCAAAGTACAGAGTGATATTCTTTTGTCCCTTGATGCCAAAAAACCTGTTCTGCTGGTGACGTTGGATATTTGTATATATGTTTTGGATAAATAATTATTCACATTAATAAGTACTATTTAATATTAATATTAATTATTGGTGTGAATATTGTTTATATTGATTATAAATTATTAATATTTTAATAATTAATAAATATATTAATAATATTAATAATTAGTATGTATGATTAATATTAAATATCATTAATATTAATATTTATTAATAATAATAAATTAATAATAAATAGGCAGTCCCCGTCAAAGTTTCTCCTGGAACTTTCTAGTATTATTATTATTATTATTTTGGTATCAGCAAGCCGCTGTCACACTGTGGCACATATGATGAGTTGATGATCAAAAGTTAAACCATCCACGTCCTGATGGCCTGTGATTTAAACAAAACACATCGTTTCTGATTTCTGTCCAGGTAAAAAGTGTTGAAATACATTTGGGTTTGGCCAAAAACGTGACCAATCGGAACTGGATTTCTTGTACCCAGGGCCCAAACTAATACTTCAACTGTAAACACCAGAAGATGATTTGATGAAGGAATCCAGTCTGGACGTTCTCTGGACGTTCCCACAGCTTGACCTGGATATTCACACAGAGCTGGAGGCCCATTAAAGCAGGAGCTTCAGCCGAACGAACAATGATGGCTGACCCTGCAGAATTATTAATGGTGCCGTTTGTCAACGCGACTGTTCAGTTAACACATGGACTTCGTCAAAAACAAAAGGTCGTCTAACAACGATCAGCTGACACAGAAATAAATTATGAAACATGTATGGCACCATTTTACAATAATAGCACCTTTATAGTAGTTAATATTTTTTTATAATGGAAGAATTAATCAGGCTGTAAACACTTAATAAATCATTATTACGCAGCTACAATTCATTAGAATAAAAAGAGAACAGATATTTAAAACCTGGACTTTTCAGTTGACATTTACTCCTCACTGTTTAATTTTAAATAAACATTTAAATAAATATTTGTCTTGTAGATTTAACAGATTAAATTCATTTACTGCTTCAGTGTATGAACAGTGCTTCATAACAGTTTTATTATTAATGCTAGGAACTGTTTAGAACAATAAAAGACAAACATGCGTGAATAACCAGTTTATAAAGGATTAGTAAATCTGTTATAAAGATACTATTTTTTGCAAAGTGATACCAAATATTTTATTTACAGGATATAAAAAAGACAAAAAGGAGAACTTTAGTTTTTAGACGAGCATCAATAAAGAGTGAAACAGTTCCGTTTTTGTTGCAGCGGTTTTTACGAAAGTTTCTTTCACCGAGCCTCATTTCTTCTTTGTTCCCACACACACACACACACACACACACACACACACACACACACACACAC